TGCATGAGTCTCTGGAAGCGTCTGTCCCATGGCTTGGACTGCACTAGCTCTTCAGCGATGACGACGGCAGCACCATATACAATCTCTGTAACGCTAGCCATTGGTAATTTTGCTTGGAATGAAGCATGTGTCTTGTATCTCATGTGTCTGACTCTTGTTCATACACTCCGTGACTTGATCCGATATCCGCGAACATCCTATCACGAATTCCGCTTTGTTGCTTTCTTCGCCCATCTAATGTTCCAAACTCAGCTTGACTCCCAGGCAGCCATTTCACATTGATATCCAACAAGCAAAGCAGACATGCCTATGAGCCCAAGTGGCGAATGATCTTGACCAAGATCGCGCAGGCGTGCCCTCCAAGATTCTGCAAGCTATGCTGACCGAGCAGGGAATACTTTTCCGTGCATATTAAAGAGTCCACTTAGTACTTAATATTTCAGCTGTTTCGGCAAATCCTAGTTCCAATGGCGAAATAGCGATAGCCTGTAATTAAATAGTTGGCCCCAATCTCCCGTACCCGGTCTTTGAGGCTCAGAGAACTTTCTAGGAGAAATTTGGCAAAAGCTTTTAGCTAGGGAAAGAAATTCTCTGTTGCTACTGATATGCTGCCTCCTAAACGCTTCTCAATTTCTGGAACCATTTTCAAATCACCCCCATTTCATGTGACGCTTGCCTTCACCCAGAATCTCTACGACGAAGCGTAAACAAAACACTGGCCCTGCTGCTTTTGCTCTTGCGCCAGGCTTTTTGCTATCTGCGTGTGCCAATCCGCGCCACATCTCGCCTCGGTGCGAGCTTGTGTTGCGTCCACGTTTTGACCGACCCTACTTACTAGACATGGAGATAATGTACATGAGTGAGGAGCTACACCTAGTCCCTATGTAATGTACGAGCATCCTCGCAACGCCAGTTGAGATGCCTATGCATCGAGCATAAAAGCTACATAGAAGACTAGCACATCGTATATGTACAAAGCTTCGGAAACAGGCCAATAGCGAGAAGCTCTCCCAGCACCTGTAGGCGATAAAAGTCAGTACACTCGGAGCCCAGCTCGAAATCAGGAATATCAAAAATTGGTTTTCTTTCAGGCTCGATTGCAGCACCACAACCAGGCCTGAACAATTCAAGTTAAAGCTTTAAGATAAGTCCGCTTGGAAAGTCTCATACGCATATATTCGAAGCAAAACGGTTACTTTGCTAGCGGATAATCCCGGTATACTGACTTTCATCACCCGCTAGCCAGCCAGTGCACAAGTGAACCCACAATCGCCATCTCTTTTCCCCTTAGTATACGGACCAACTTTACCTATCAAGCCGTCAGCCGAGAACAAAACCGAAAACACAAATAAACTCACAATAATTCGCCTTGCTATCACTCCCGAATCTCGGGTTCGTACATATATTGGAAAGACACCGTATCACCAGCTCCCTCCCCCGCCTCTACATCAAGCAATTCCGGCAACCTGCTTTTGATAGTGGCTCGCAGGCTCGGCTTCGAGTCGGCGTAACCGGTGGTGCCTATCAGAATTGAATTTTGATCAAAAACACTGAGGTCGAATTTGGAAAGGCCGCCCCATGCGGGGACGTAGTGTTGTATCCGGTGGAATCTGCACCAGCCTGGTGTGAATCCGTACCCGTTTTTGGGACGACCTATAGCGGCGAAGACGTTGTCGGCGATGTTTAGATGGCCTGGTTGAGATGGGACGTTAGGTCTTGGGCGTTTGCGGGTTGCGGGGCTGGGAAAATTTGAAAGATAGATGGGTTAAAGGATGTGAGCTTACCGACAGTTGTTGGATGGAACATTCTTCCGTAATGTGCAGCTGGAAACCAGTCGTTCTCAAACGTCCCTTCGTTTTGTGTGGTCCCTTAATATTGAATTACTGGGGTCCTCGGCCCATGCGCCTTCACAGAGCGCTTTTTCGTCCCAGTTGCCATTAGCTTTCGAAGTGTCCCTGCAAGTGGACATATCTGCTGCTGGGTTAGTACCGGGCTTGAGGTCGTTGAAGGCGCCCCAAAAGAACGATTCATCCGGAACATAGAAGAACCAAGTATTTTGTCGATTATAAAAGTCGGGCTCCTGGACAGACTCTTCGCGGAAGCGGTGGCCGTCCCAGTCGGCAGAGTAGTCGACGAAAGTCATCTCTGGGCGCGCATGACCCTTTGTCTTGCTTACTGCCGCAGACGTTACCTTATTGAGATTCGTGACCGCATCATTGACCCCTTTCCTGATTTCTTGAGTAAGATACGTCGTGAATCTGGAATCCGCCCTCTCTGTACCCTGCCAGTAGTTGAAGGTAACGGCGTTGCAATAGATTGTGTCTACATTGAAGATGTGGTGTATTCCACCACGACGAACTTGGCGATATTGGGAACATCCTCTGCGATTTGGTTGATCGTGCTAGTGAGGGCAGTGGGGAGGACGCGGTCGAGCTTGTCTTGGAAGTCGTTGAGCACCGGTGTGCAGTTTACTGCTGCACCTGCTTGAAAGTGGAATACGCAAGCTTCCAAGATATCATAAAGACTTGCATCATTCGGTCCTAAGAAGTTATTTGCGCGGAGAATTAGAAGCCAGCGACAGTCTCGTACCCGTCTGTAAGGTCCCGAACTCAGAGTTAGCGAGATTTGCACTTGCTACGTTAGCAGAATCGAGGGTAACTCAGGATTCAGCGAGAAAGAAAAGGTTTCGAAGCTCGGGAGAACTGCCGAGTCGAGTGTCATTATAATTCATTTGGTGGGCTCAAGATCCGTTGTATTGTCCCCGAATAATCCACCGACCTACAACGTAGCCAGAAGCGAAATCATCGCCCAACGCAGCCCAGTCTGTGACGTCGGAAGTTACAGCTGCGCGTTTGTCAATGTTTGAGGTAGGATTGGACTGTATACATTGGAAGTAGCCCAGTAAAGATAGAAAGAGTAAATGGCTTGATAACCAACAGGCCAAGATGATGAGATATCCGCGTGCTGTTCTGGTAGCGGGGTATCTAGATCAAAATCAAAGCAATCTTCTTATTGAGTGCACGCTCATGAGAGACGAATCCTGCCCTTTTGAATGGGTCAGGGTATTGAATGCGAATAGAGAATGGATTATATGTTTTCGCGCCATGTTGGCCATGTGTCTTCATTTTGACTGTTTTGACACCTTGTGGGGAAAGGCAGCTTGATGGTTGAAAGTTCAGCCAATGGAAATTGATATAGTTTTGTGTTTCATTACTTGAGCCGTAATTCTGCAATGAGGACACCTCTCAAGCTGCCTTGATTGATTGGAAGATATGAAACACATTTATCCCCTTTGTTATGACGGATTCTAACGTCATAGACGGGGGCCTCATGCAGAGATCATGATAGGTCGCATTGTTGGGTAGGTTGCTTGTTTGTACAAAATCTTCGGCTCGGATCGGCTCGAAGATCTGGCATGACATTCGTCTGCTAGTCCAGGCGACGAAGTCAAGAAGAGCGAAAGTCAAAAGAACAACGGACGTTGGACCTGATCAGCCTTGCGCGAGTGTATCAACTTAGGTATTGCTGTCGTGTAGCTTGTTGGGTGCCGCTGCCAAGTAGAGAAGCATTCGTCTAGGTCGAGGTCTGAAACGGTCGACAATTTGGCTACCAAAACTGACTGTTCTGATCTGATGTTGGAGCCCAGAGTGCCGTGAGACAGGTTCGAAGAGTCATGTAGTATGGAAATCATCCTCAAATGCCCTTCTAGCTTTCTGTAAGTTCAAATTTTGAAACATCGTTTAATGAGGAATTGGCCCTGTAGCGTAAAACTCGCGCTTGACAAGAGTTGGCAATCGAATCGAAGGTATAAGATATGATGAACGCTGTGTGTTGTGCTCGAAATTTTGGTACAATAGGTCTGCTTTTGTTCTCGTGACGGATGTGGTCGAAGAAAATGCCAAGACAAAGTTGGGCCATGGCCTCAGCACACTTGATGAGACAGAGGCTCACGAGGGAAGTTCTCTTCCATACCGGGCATGGGTATTGCCATTTCCCGTGTTACCATAGTTGCCAAGCTCGCAGGTGGTGCCAGCACCGTTGCCCATACTTGCCTACACGTTTACCTTTAGCAATCAAACCAACTAGTATGTACCTCAGGAGCATCGTCAAGGGAGCTGTTGAAAAGTGATTGCTCCCGAGCCTTGACGTCGAAGCGAACGTGTAGCCCAGGATGAATATCCCAACCGCGCTGGTGCTTGGTTCCCGCAAGCTTGGCAAGGACTTTGAAAGATCTAACGAACGGAGGCCGTAAGTGAGACTTGCTGCCGTAGTCGTCAATACATACCAATATTCTAACAGGCAGCGCATGCTACGGATACGCCGGATACATGTAGGCAAAGCGTCAGTCTTCGTGTATTCGTAGATCTTAGCAAAGTCACACAAATATGGTTGGGAGAGAAACTCAGCAACCTTAGATCGAATGACCAAACGAATGTTCCTGAGATCAAAATGTCGCAGTGTATCAATCCGACGTTGACCACACCAATCTTTAGTTTCCTATCAAGCTCAGATGACAGTGCACCTACTTCCAAGAAGCTATCACGGAATCTTCATAGCTCCGATACCAGTAATCAGGACAACAATTAGAACCCACGGATCAATGTGAGCCTGGTGGTAGGAATATAGAAACGCGTCGCGCGTTAGTAGATAAACACGCTAAGGGAAGTACTTGCCTACGGTCTCTTCCCGACCGGATTGCCCCAACCATCCTTTTCTCCTCAGCAATCGTATCAAGATGCAGCCGGCTGTTAGCCACTTCGGTGCTTTATAACGAAACAGACATTAACGAATCGAACCCTTCGCCCCTCCTTCAGCATCACCTCACTGTGACCTGGATCCCCACATGATTTGCTCGCTTATTTAGCGCTATGTCGTCAGAGCAACAATTTCCAATGCAGTGAGTGATCAAAGCCATGGCTTGGCCTGCATGATTTTGCCATCTTAATACAAAGCTATTTGAGATTTTACTAATAACAAAATAGGAATACAAACTCCAAAACGGTGGTGTGGTGTAATGGTAGCACGTAACGTTGTGGTCAACGATTCCGTTCCGATCCCGGTTCGATTCCGGGCACCGCCAGTTCCTTTTTGCCAATAGGAAGTAGTTTTTTTTGCACTTTTGATATTGAGATGAAACGTTTGAACATGCTGTAAGAGCCCATACTGGTGTCGATGGCTAGATTTGTGAGGAAAAGGTGTCGGTATACTAAAGCTTGGTATTGCTTGGCATTGATCTTTACCTTACTGTTTTGGGTGAGCAAATCGATGTTACTTCGACTTTTCATACCTAACTTCCTAGAAGGAACAGTATTCTACCAGCTAGATACTCTAATATATCAAAATGAAAACATATCGAATGATATACAGAGGTTTTGGCTTCAGGGTTCATGGCGGCAATGATAGTCCAAAACTTGGGTTCATTATTAACACATGGTGACCCCAGTCCAGTATCGTGAATGAATGCACTGAGGATATGCCCTCATCTCAGTGTTAACATTAACGTAACCACAGGCAACCGAAGCCGCTAAGGATATTTCCCTGCAATATAAAAGAATTTTCACAATCACCTCACATCACCGGATCTCCAACCAACAACACCGGAGGTATCACCAACCATGGCTGCCTCCACTGGTCCAGTCGAAGCCGACAATCCCACAGTCAAAGCTAACAACGCTCCAGTCGAAACTGATGGACCCCCAGTCAAAGCCAATAACACTCCAGCCAAAGTCGATGAAAATCCAGTCGAAAATCCAGTCGAAAATCCAGTCGGGGCCGACGACCGTCTAGTCGAAGCCGGTGACCCTCCAGTCGAAGTCGATGAACCCTCTGCCAGCCTACTCTTCGGCCTAGCAGCTGAGATACGCCAGGAAATCTACGAGAACGTCCTAATCCACCCTGTAAAGCTTCAGCCAAATGGCCCCAGCTATCAAACAGGCGATGAAGGCTCCCATGGTGTCTCTACAAGCATCCTCCGGACTTGCCGCTTAATCCATGACGAGGCCTATCCCATCCTTTACCGCAAGAACTTCCTCGAATTCCACGACAATCAAAGCGAGGCGGTCTACAATGATTATCCCAGCGATGAATCCGGCGATGAATCCGGCTATAAATCGGGCTATAAATCCATCGACATATCCATCGATAATCTCTTGGACGTGCCACCACTCCAGCCAATTCTACCATTCCCCGAAGACCGCCTCTCGCTCGTCAAACGCGCCTCTGTCCAGATCAATCCTTTGATATACGGCAGCACAAGAACGATGGCCGCATTCCTGACGACCCTTGCCGAATCAGACAAGAAGGACCGTCAACTTGAACTGTCAATCAGCATCCATCTATATATCGTGAGTGACGCGGATAACTTCCACTCGCAATGCCCAGAACCACTTGGCTCCGACAAATTCCTCTATGGAGAAAACCCTCTAGTACCTGCGATATTCTCGCTTATCGCGGTCAAGAAATTGCACATCATGATACTCAACGAGGCAGTTTTTGAGTTTGGCGTGGCCGATGAACTGAAGGCGCGTTTCATGTTGGAGGGAGGATCTGCAGAAAGCCGTTCCATCACTATTAAGAAAGGGTGTGGCTTCACGCATCAATTCCTTGAGGAAGACGCAACCGACCTTGACGACGGTGAGCAGTGCGATTTCTGTGGAAACAAGTGGAAGGACATCCGGGACGGTAAGGCGGACTTCACGTATGGCGATCATATGCCGCGAGTTTGGGACTAGCAAAGGCTTCGACCAGACGGGCCTCACGTGATTGGTACGTTGTCTTTTCACCCTTCTTACGGCTTTTCTCGCTCAACGACTGACAACTAGCAGCAAGAAATGAGGTGCTTGATATGGCATTCACGTGCCATCATGCCAATACAGATTTTAGCCTGAGCACGACTGACAAGTAGCAGCAAGGAATGGCCTGCTTGATATGGTGTTCGGGCTCCCAATACCGAGTTTAGCCTGGAACAAGAATAGCACAATTTGAATAGCAAGAAGCTGAAAACATGACACTTTAACACAAAGAAGTACACTCAACGTGCCAGACTCCTGTTGCAATCTCAAGCTTTTCTAGCATCCGAAGCTTAATTGGCCACAGCGGCTACAGCAATATTCCCCTCCCAAGGTCTCAGACATCCTTGAAACTCGCCAGATTTATATCAATAGTTGACAAGTCACTCGGAGCAGAGCCAGATCAACTTGATCGTATTGCATTCGGCACTTAAAACTACCTACAGCGACGCACTTTGCTAGCACACATTCTATATTCCGGGGTATCACTATAAATAATCAACGCCTCCCAAAAACGCCCAGCGCCCCCAACCTGTCTATACCCATGTCCTCTATATTCATGACCTTTGTGGGAGGCAGCCCAGCTGCTCCTCATTTCCAAAATCCATTCACCATATCACTCCAGCCGCCAAAGAGCCATTCATCCCCATGCCTCCCACATTGCATCGTCGTAGACGTTCTCCTCCTGTGCCTTTTCTCTTTCCCTTTCTTCAGTGACCACGAGCTTTGCTGAGAGTTTGAGGAGCAGAAGGAGTAGCGGGAGAGGGAGACGGACCAGATGGAGTCGTCTGTTGAGGAACAGGTTGAGGAGGGGGAGCTGAGGGTTGTTGGAGATGAAGAGGCTGAGGTCGAAGAGCGATGAAACGGTCGTCGTGATGAGGGTGAGGTGGAAGCTGACGTGGGCGCTGTATGTGCTTGTATCGGAGGTTCTTGCAGTGTCAATGGAGAGGAAGAAGTTGCCGAGACCGGCGTCGCTGTCGATAAGGAAGAGGTGGAAGCGGGTAGGTTGGTGGTTCTGAGGCGGGGGGAGTTGAGTAGTCGAGAGGCGATGGAAGGCATTGCGGTTGCTCGAGAGGTTGGCGTGATAGTGTGGTAGGCGGTCGAGGGAAGGTTGGGATGTATGCTCTCTTCGGTCTGCTGCGGCTTCTGCGCTGCTTTCTGGGTGACGGAGGTAGCGAGGATCTGGGCGATGAGGAGGAGGATTCGTAGATGTGGGCGCAGTAATTAAGAGAGTAGAAGGTATTAAGAGGAGAACACCCGCAGATAAACATTGGAAGCGGTGTGAAAGAGAGTGGCAGCTGATCACAATATCTGTACAGTATAGTGTGTAGAGATTGGTACTTGAGAAAGCGGTGAAGTAGCAGTACCTCAACGCTTCTTATCACCCCAAGCACAGACCATGAAACACGAAGGCAGCCAACGCATACAACACCCAGCTGGCTAAATTAAATAGGGTCCTGATGTCAGCACACTTAGCGCTAAACCTAACGATCCTTTCGACGCTCGTACCACAGTACCTGACACGCTTTGCCGCATAAGCATGTCAGCAAAGATCCCTACCCCACCATCGTAGCCAGGAAACGAGTTGAGTTAGGGGGCTACTCCCCAAACCAATCCAAGTGCTGAGAAGAGGCTTCGGAGCAACGAACCCATGCATTGGGGCCTGAAAAGTCTAGATTCAAGGATGATGAGGGTACCTTCCAAATGCCGCTGGCCGACTGCCATCTCGACGCCCAGTGGCTGGTGTATGGCTGTTGGCTGGGGCCAAATGGCAAGTTGCTACGCATGTAGGTAGCAGCCTAGAAAGAGAACGTCCGACGGGAAGATCCGCCTTGCGAGGTGGCACTCTCAGAGCCAATTGATCGCATTGCGCAATCCGGTATGGTGGTAGTTGTTTCTCGTTGAAGGATCGCAGTTGGAGCGATGGATGTTTCGTGTAGCAGGGATTCTTGACCAGGGGAGGACGCGCGAGTGGTGTCGTGTTAAGAGTCTAGCGCCTTCAATCTCCGGGGAGGCTTACCCGCTATCTTAGGGCCCTAATCATCGGCACTTGGGAGCTCTTAGGGCTGCTATTCGCTTTAGCTTGCTGTTTCAGGTTCAGCGCTGAAGGGAAAGCCGATGTTCGTATCAGCGTCCCGAGTTTCAAGCCTCAGCTTCTTCTCTTCTCTATGGCGCATCTATGAATAGCTGTCCTTTCTGGATGGGCAGACTGCAATGATTACGACCATAAATAATATGTCCGTGTGGACGACGCAAACCACACGGTTATCCTCCGAAGATGGGCCTTGGACCAACAGCGAGTGAGCACTGCAAGGATAGCCATGCCTGCCGATTTGATTTCTACGTATTTCGGTCATTCTCGTTCCGCCATACGACGTCGGCAAAGGCGCATACTCAGTTATGGACTGGGTATCTGTATCTTTGACAGCTAGATCGAACATCCGACCATGTTCGTATTCTGCTGGGGGGCCGAATGAATACAATGAGTGCGGAAGAATCGCCAACGAGCCAACATTTGTTGGGGTCGTTCTTGCTGTGCGAATTTCGTTATTGCTGGGCAATGCTTGTCGCTCTTGCCATACCTCTCCATTTTTGCTCCCTTTCCTTCCTTCTGCACTTCCTATCTCGGTGCTTTTTCTCTTCCTCATCCTCATCCTCCTCCTCTACCGTGTCATTAATACGTCTAGCTTTCCATACCAATCTCACTCTCACTCCATGCTCTAGCATTGTCCGACGAGTAGTGAGACTTGCCCCTTTTAGGGAATTGCTCCAAGTCCTCTTCTTCCCTCTTCGTGTGACCAGTAGGTTTTTTGTGCTCTCCAGCTGCTCGCTCACGCGTATTATGTAAATAGACGTCGCACTTCCGAGGAAGGAATCCGGAGGCGAATCCATCCACTGCTGAGTACCTTAGGCTTCCGTTGATTACTCATCCGTACTTAATGCTCTTCTCGTTAGAAGATTTGGAAGTGATCACCATACTAAAGGACTGCCCTGAGTCTCTCCAAGCTTTCATAATGTGTTCTCAATAGTATTGCGCTTGATCCCTTGCATTGCATCGTACCTGTTCTTACCAGAGCTCTCATGACGCGTTAATTCCACGGCGTGGAGTCGCGTCAAAAGGCACATTCCAGCCTACACAATTTCCCACGATGTCTTCAAACCAGCCATCACATCTGTTCAGTCCCTCCTGTAACTCTCCTCTCCTTCCCTCTTTTCCGTTTCGTCCATGGTATAGTGAAGAGCCGGTCTCCGCCTCCGACTCAAATCATGAAGAAACTCCCAACCCTTTCCT